GTGCACTGAGGGGCTGTGCTGTTTCTCGGCGGGGCACTGGAAGGCTGCCCTGTCCAGACATTTTCCATAGACTTAAAACCTGCCTAAGAAGGTGTTATAAGTTAGTACAAACTGACTGTTCTGGGATCCAGCAAGGATGACTGAGATTTTTGCAGGGACGATGGAGGATGCAAAGAGGAGGGAAGTGCAGTTTCCAGACCAGCAGGGAAGTTGAGGGAAGGGCGTAGTGAATTCCTGTGTCCCCGCCGTCCAGAGCCAGTAGTGCTGGCATTTTGTCATAATTGCTCTGTCTTCTTTTTTTGCCACGTATGCGTTATCTTTCTGATATTCTCTATTTTGCCGTATTCTCTTCATCATATTTTTGCAGAGCCTTTGAAAACAAGTTGCAGGCATGTTGACAATCTTTCAGTGTTTCAGTGTGCACCTGCTTTAGACAAGGGTCTTCCACCACGTTATTTTGTGTGTGTGTGTGGGGGAGGTAATTAGGTTTACTTGTTTATAATTTTAATGGAGGCACTGGGGATTGAACCTGGGACCTCGTGCATGCTAAGCATGCGCTCTACCACTGAGTCGGCTCTCCCCCCTTGTACCATGTTATTATCAAGTTTAAGGAAACTGATTTCCTGATATCATGAAGCATTTGATCATGTTCTTTCCCTGATTCCCCTCCAGGTGCCCTTTGTGGCTTTTCCCCCTCTGAGCAGCGTTGTGTCTGATACTATACATCCTTAGGCTTTTAAAACCTAGAATGGTCTTCCTGTCATTTTGTTCGTTTATAGTTTTTTGCTTGTCTTGTTTGATGATCTTGGTTGTTGAAGAGATAGCGCCAAGTGCCAGGTGTCTTCTGTAATCAAGTGTCTCAGGTCCTGCACGTCTGTTCCCTTTTCTGACTTGTTTCTGTCACCCCCGTATTTCCTGTGAAGTGGAGGTTAGATTAACAATTGGATTCGGTTAAACCTTTCTGTCCCCCATGACCCGCTCCCTGAGTGGGCTGTGTACCTCATCTCAGTTTCGCTGAGTGGTTGTGGTGAGGTGATGGCTGTGCACATCTTTTGGTTTAGGGGCCGTTTCCTTTTTGCCACGAGCGGGAAATCCGTTCATGATTGTTCAAGGTTGTAGCTCAACGTGAGTATCTTGTTTGCCAACAGCCTTTCACCTGATGATTTTAGCGTCCGTTGAATCAGTGTATTTGAATTGCAATAAAATGGTGATTTCCTAATTCCATTTTTACAGTTCTTTTGATAAAGGCAGGGTGAATTGCTGCATAAGGAAGTTGCGTGTTAGCAAGAAAATGTACACATGGGGCTCTGGCGGGTTTGTGGCCACACCTGGGCGTTGGTGCTACAGGAGAGGAAAATTTATCTTTTTCCTCAACCCATCTTAGTTTCATTGGCTTGGACCCTGCAAATTAGACTGACAAAGAGAAAAACATACAGACTCAGTGATGAGTAACTCAGAGGAGTGGTTAGAACTTGGGATTATGTTGCATCTTAACAAAAAGTGAATTAATAGAAGAGTGACCAGGCAAGGGCAGATTGTGGAAAAGGAGCTAGCTGGGGCGAGCTGGTGGAAGACGCGGCGGCTTTAGCAGGAGTTGGTGCGGAGAGTCCTGTGGCGCTACCTGCGGGCTGACGAGTGTGTAGAGTTGTCTGCGGTGACTAAGAACCCCTTGCCCTCCCAGCAGGAGGGACGCAGGGAGTTTTCTCACGTCTGCTTTTAAAACCTTACCTTCAGCTTAAAGTGATCCCTCTGCCAGCGCAGTGTATTTTGGGGTGGCCTGTTCTGAACCCCTTGATGTGAAACTTTAAGAAGTTCCATATGTTAATAATGGAGTTGGTAGATGTGGAGAGAGGTTCGAGAGAAGGGATTAGCAAGGCAAGGAAGGGAGGCAGGCAAGCTCCTTTTACTTCTTTGCCGTTTTTCCTGGGTGTAGCCTTCACTTTCTAGCAGATGTCACCTGAATCTTTTAGAAAATGTCCCCAAAGGGAAGTTGAACACTCAGATCCATCCACCTCATGATCTTGCGTAGGAAACACTCATGAAACACAGGGTGTCCTCCCCACTCTCCACCTTAGAGCTGTGCTGTCATTTCTCCTAAGGCCCTTCCCTTTCCCCTCCGACCGCCTCCGTTGTGAGGTTGCTGGCTCTGGCCCAGCTCCTGGCGTGGCTTTGTAGAGACCAGACTGATGTCAGCTGTACTCAGCCGACAGTGTACAGTTTGGGTGGATTCAGAGTAACACAGAAGAGATACCATGACTCTCTTAATGCATAGTCACGTTCCTTTCTAAGGGCGGTATTCTGTACCATCATGAGACGTTAAAATGTGTCTAGTCACTGTCTCTGGAGTGTATGTTTCAGAGGCTAGTGATCTTCTGTCTTAATGGTTCTGGGTACTTGACACCAGCAGCCTCTTTTTCTAGATGCCATGCTTAAAGCACTGGTACTCTTCACGTTTTAGTGAACCTCATATTTATCACTGGGAGCCAGTCAGCTAGTCAATAAAAAGCAGCTTTCCCAAGACTAAAATCTCAATTCTCTTACCAAGAATTTATATGTAACTTTTACATAAAGGAATTGGATTAAAAATTAGTATTTAACAGCTGACATTCTGTAATTATTTCTTGTTCTGATAATGATGGAAGAAGGACATAAGTTTTTCAGGCCAAGTCGATCATTCTTTTTCTTCTCTGCTGTTTACTTCTTCCCCATCCCTGCCTTGATTGTCTCAGCTGACATCAGGTACTGTGTGTGTGTGTGTGTGTGTGTGTGTGTATAAAGATGTGTCTCAATGATGTCATGAAAACTGATCGCAGTACCAATATAAAAAAGCTTAATATTAAAGTACTCGAATAAATGTTAAGCTTTGTTCTGGTCCGTGACTGTGTTTTTTCAGTTAAACTGAAGTTTTCATTTGGATTGAGTTACTCTACGGAGCCTGCCCTTCTCAGAGTCGGCACTTTGTATCAGCAGTTAACCACAGGAATATCTTCTTC